CTGGTTCCATTGCTTACGTTCATTTGGTAGTTCAGACTTGTGCTAGTATGAATATAAAGCACTACCATTGTTTACATTTACCAGTTTTTGAAGAGCTACTACTTATTGTAAATGGCACTTCAGAAGTTGGATCTGCTATTTTGCCTGGTTTTCTTCCTCACCCTTTCTTCCACCATTCTATATGTCCATAACGAAGCAAACTCAAAATAAATTATCTGCAACATAATTTGACCTAAACAGGATCAAAATGCTGCTTCCAGCTTTCTTGTTTTCTGTTTTTCACATAAAACCCAGTGAGCTGTTGCTGCATTTGTTGTTCCAAAGTCAGTTATGGTAGTGATCCATCTTTGCCCTACTCACTGATGCATTGGCCAGTGTTTTCATATGTTCACTCCAGTGCAGCTATACTGGAGCATTTACTGAGCCATTAGTGACAAGAAAAAGAACCAAGACAGCAAAAGTCAGAGAATACGCTCCAAAACCCAAGTACAAAAGCATTACTGATCTGCCCTGATTGTTTTCTTAGCTTCATGACTTGATAAATTATGCCTGCATTAAAGCTCAGGGGCGATCTGTATTAGAGAGAAAAACAAACTGCATTTGTGCTGGTACTTGCAAGGGACTTTTGAACTCTGTTGTACAAATTGTTTGTACACTGCATCACGGGCCTTTAAAGATCTTACATACTAGCAGTGTGGGAGGCATCAGTAGTGAGGCCAGGGGTCCATCTCTTCTCCAAAATACCTACCAAAAATAGGACAAGAGGAAATGGCTTCAAGTTGCGCCAAGGGAGTTTCAGGTTAAATATTAGGAAAAATTGCTACATCGAAAGAGTAGTCAAGCATTGGAAAAGGCTGCCTGAGGAAGTGGTGGAGTCACCATCCCTGGCAGTGTTCAAGAAACATATTGATAAGGCACTTTCGGACTGGCTTAGCAGGCATGGTGTTGAAGGGCTTAGGTGAGACTCGATGATTTTGAAGGTCTTTTCCAACCATAATCATTCTGTGTTTCTTCAGCCTCCCCACCTCACAAAACAATACCTGTATACCTTCCAACTATTGCAGCAAGCCCTGTTTGCTTTGCTGCTCTGGTGTTGGTGAGAATAATAAAAACACAACTAATTCTAACTAGTGTAGAAATGATGGGGAAATGATTTCCTCATACTCAAAAACTAGTGTTCAAAGCAATTTTCCAACAAAATTTAAGCCGAGTGCTAGTGAAATAGGTTGCTAGGTTTTTTTGTTCAGTGATACAGAATAGTGTCTAAATGGGAACAAATTTCAACAGCCCTGTTCTGTAATTACAGGACTAAACTGACCAGAGAGGGCTAGAGAGAGGATTACTGACTTTAGGCAAGGAGTCATTTCTATTGCAAAAGCCTAGCAGAAAAAAACAAAAAAGGAGAGGTGGTGGTAGAATAATCTTTAAAGAAGATAGCTGTCTCTCCCACTTTAACCCCAATATAGACACTTACTATCATCTCCCTAGGTTGGATAATTGAAACTATGGCTAGCTCTCCATTTTATTACAGATTTTTTTTATTATTTTTTTCTCCAGCCTTTCTGTTTGAAGGTCCTTTATAGTCTTTTGTTTGTCCATATGTCTTTTCAAAGATATGTCTTTTCAAAGAAATGTCTTTTTATATATCTTTTCAAAGAAGGCAGATGCATTTCCAGAGTTTGGAAAGAACAATCTAATAGCTTTTTCTTTGTTGTTATTAATACCCCAAAGCTGCATGCATATTAAATTTGCCAGTGTAATAGGTTGTAGCATTTTCGTCTTCAAAGGTTCTTTGTCCGAACTGTGGAATCAGTTCACTTTGATTTCTTAAAGATTGATGTAGAAAGATTCCGGATAGATGTTGGTATGTTTGTGTTTAAAGAATTCTGTGTATTTTTCAGGTAAAGGTAAAATGTCAGAGTTTATTAAGCATTCTGGTAACTTGGTCTGCAACATAGCTAAAGTTTTTCATATTAAAGGAATCTTTGTTTTATTGGTAACAGGGTTGAAATTTTGTTTGTTTGAGTTTTATTTTAGGAAAAGAGACAATTTATAATAAAATCACATGGAAGATTGTAATTCTCAGACTTTTCTGATAAATAACACAAGAATTTCTAATATTAAAGATAATCATGAAAGCTTACTGGTTTTGCATGTGTTATAAATTTTTTTGGGGGAAAGTATTTTTTTATTTGTGCTTTTTTTGAGATTTACACTATTTCCTCCTTTTCCTCTTCCTGTTTTCTTCCCCTCATCCTTCCTCCTTTCTACTGTTACTCTCTCTCATAATTCAATTCCCATTTGTGAAGAAAAGGTCATGGGTCAATGACTTAATCATATTTAATAAACTCACTAAGCTTCTTCAGCAGTATACTTCATTATCCCTCTAGAAATGTTATTTTTGTGAGGGAAATTATATTTTTGCTCATGAAAGAATGTGCAACTGTCCTAATTTAAATGCTGCATAAGAAATACTGCACTTTGCTCCCAAGACATGTAGAAAACAAGATAATGACAAAGGTATTCTTGCCATTTGAAGGCATGCCATGACACAATGGCAAAAAGACACTGGTTCATCTTTGAACATTTTGCAGGATTTTTAGAAGCTTGTCTGTTCTGACACAGGGGATCTTTTATTTGCCTGTCACTAAGTTGAACTGTGATCTAGAAAGGCCTTTCCTGGCAATAAGGAGTGAGGAAAGGGTAGGAACTGGTTTGCTCCCGCTTGCTGCGAGCGGCCTAAATTTTGTGTGTCGCTGCCTCCATGCATGCCTGAGGGGATAGACATCCAAGAGAAGTTTTAATAATAGGCGAACCTAAATAGGAAAAGAAAAAAGGAAAAAGGAGGATGGAATTAAGCTTGTGTGTTTCCAAAAAAAAAAAAAAAAAAAAGTTGGAAGCAGTTAAGGTCTTCAGTTAAGCTGTTAAAAAGCTATGCAATCTTAGGACTAATACTACTTCCCTCGTGTGGTGATTGACTTTAAAATGTGGATCAGAAAGACGTTTTTGAGGAAAACAATATTGTCTCCAGTGAAAATGCCAGAGCGTGACCTCTATCCTAAAAAAAGTACATATAAAAACAAATATGCCTAGTAGCTTAGCTTTTAAAGAAAATATTCCAATACCTCTATTCCAATGAGGTGAAGCAAAAATAAGAACAGGAAATATTAACATTTTAATAGTTATTAATAAATACATTTGACAGAATACAAATGTGCTTCAAAAGAAAAATGATAAATTTTGAGAAAACAGGTGTATGTAATTATATCAGCATGTAAGATCTAAAAGCTGGAATAAGAAATCTCGGTAATAACGATCAGGATTTACATTGTGCTTATTACTGTTTGGATATTGGTTCCATGAACCAATAGCTATCGTCCTAACCTATTTTTCACAATTAAACTTAATAGTTCTTGGGTAGAATTATATGTGTAGAATAAATAACTAAGAGTTATGGGAAACTTATACAGAATTTTACCACAGAAATAAATAGTTCAACAAATAGCTCAACATTGAATTGAGACAATTTACTTGCATAATTCTTAGCTACAAATATAGAGGGGAAAGAAGCTTCTCTAAAGGTTTCAAATATAATATACAGTAATTTAAAGATGTCCATGTACTGAAAATCTGATATCCTTTTTTATGCTTTCAAGACATAGAACCTGAGAGTGATATTCATTTTAACAGAACTTAGTTAAAATGAAATATTATTAATAAATAAGCAGAATAAATGGATACTTAATGTCTTGAATGACATATGATCAGGTGCTGGTGTATGAAAATCTACTGCTAATATTATAGTGAACTAAGTATATCCAGTCTCTCCCAAGTCCATTGCTCATCTCAGTAATACTGATTTAACAGTTATATCTGCTTTCTTTTAGCAGCCTTGACAGGAATTGTCATGAACCTATTTCTTGTGAATGGGATATCTAGGCAATTAATCTGTTAAGTTTTTTCTTTTTTTTAATGTGAATTTTTGCAAACAGGAAAAAATATATTTTAACTAACAAAATGCAAATTGTGAGATAGGTTTGTGATGAGAATTCAGTTACTCTATAGCTTTATTAATGAGTTGCATTTAGTATTCTTAAATCTGAAAGATTACTTCTTTTAAATGTAAATTTAACTTATAGCTGTTTGTGTAATAGTTGAAAGCTGACAGACCTTCAGTACCAATATTATTTGATTTCAGGACAGTCGTGTTTGTTACAAAATTGGATAGCTAATGGAGGAATGTATGCTCCGCTCAGTCCATCCCTTCTTCTGGACTGCCCTTAGTAAATGTTGAGTACCTGATATCCTGTTTATTCTTGATACGATCCTTTCGGCGTGGCAGCTTGTTTTTCCTAAGGCAAAAGTTTACTAGTGGGCACTGGCAGTGCAGAAGACAGACCACCTAGAGAGTAAAGTCATTATTTTTACTATGTTTCATTCTGAACTGACAAAACAATAATAGAAATTGTGAACTGTTGATAGCAACAGTGGTCTTATGGGCTAGTCTATAGCTGGGAGTTTCATATTATGCTGTACTTTCTGACTCCTGCCTCTGTTAATGATTAACAAATTAATGACATGCATAATAATGTAAAAAGCTGCATTTAAATCATCGCTAGCATAGTGATACATTTAAAGGTTTTTGCTTATTTATTTATTTATTTTGCTTTCCTGTTGATTCCATTTTCTACCATGCGGATATAATTTCAGCTCTTTAAAACTGTAAGGCCAATTTTTGATTATAAAAATCATACCAATAGTCTGATTGGTCTTATCGTAAATAAAACCCAATTTTCCCATATAGATGTGCAGTTTGGGGTGATAATAAATGTACCTTTTCTCTCCTCTTCACCCTCCATCCTGCCCTCCCCAGCCAAAAAATAGTTTGGAAGTTATGTCCTAGAAGTGAAATAATTTATATACTATGCAAAAGGTTACAGTCCTGTCACTCTAAAATTTCCCTCTGCCCTTGTACAATTTTGTTCTTTTATTTATTGCAGATGGGGAACTCAAGGGGATTTCACTACTACTCACCCTCGTCCTGTCGTCAAAGTAAAACTCTTTACAGAAAGCACTGGTGTTCTGGCGCTTGAAGATAAAGAACTAGGAAGGGTGAGTATTATGTGTAGAAAATGTGTATATTGATATAATATGCTGTGAAATGGCATATGGCATTCACTACAGCACTAGCTCTACTGCAGAATATCCCTCTCTGGAGATCTGGAAAAATTTCTTAACAGTGAGGGTGACAGAGCACTGGAACAGGCTGCCCAGAGAGGTTGTGGCGTCTCCTTCTCAGGAGCTCCTCAAAACCCGCTTGGACGCTGTCCTGTGCCACGTGCTCTAGGTGACCCTGCGTGTGCAGGGGGGTTGGACTAGATGATCTCTAGCGGTCCCTTCCAACCTTAAGCATTCTGTGATTTTCGAAGTCCGCCTGGATGGGACCCTGTGCCACGTGCCCTAGATGTCCCTGCTGGAGCAGATTGGACTCATATTTTAAAATTCAAGTCTCTATTCATTGATATTTCCCATTCAAGTGTGGACAGCTTATGAAGAACAGCAGGGCTCTTCCCCTCTTTGTGTCCTCCAGCTGCAGGCGGATATGCAACAGATTGTCCCACATTTTAGGTTACTTTTTTAAGTCAGGACTTACCCTGCACTGTGCGTTTTCTTGCCGCTCATGTTCTTCTGAGAGACCTCAAAAGTCGTTTGGTTGTGGTCTGCCAAGGCAGAGCTGGTATCTGTGTGGGGAAGAGCTCACAGGAATAGGGAGGGAGCTGGGCAGGGACCATGGAAGATGTGGTCAAGGAGCTTCAGGGGCACCTCTGTCATGGAGGTGAGTAGGCTGCATTCAGTAGTATCTGGATGCAGAACAATGAAAAAAGGTGAGGGAGTGATCCTGAAAAAGTTGTCTTAATAACATGGTGCTGTTAAAATCCAGAGAGGTTAAGAAGAAGAATCGCATGTGTTAACACAATCTGTTGCTCTGTAGCACAAAACTATCAAATTTTAGGTACAGCCTTTGGTCTGCTTTATTACACTGTAGCTTATCTGAGCATCTAGGACAAAAGATGAGAAAGGCTTTAAAAGATTTTTAGGGAATTGAAATATTTCAGTGTAAAATATTAAACTTAGCTTTCGCTGTAACTGTATTCAGTGGTCTCAGATGTTTTATTTTGTGTTTTTTTCCCTGCCTCTTCTCCTTTCCAACTCTAGGTCTTTTGTATTTCCAACTCCAGATCTTATCTGTACTTAGCACCTTTTCCTTTCATGGCATTCAGGATGCCTTTGTGACAGGAGGTAGTTCTCATTATGTAACTTCCCTGACATTGCTCTCCAAAAAAAAAAGACACAACCAGACTTTGTTCTGTCTTCTACACAACCTGGAGAATTTTTAAACAATATCAATTTTCTACTGAAGCCCCCCCCCCAAAAAAAAGAAAAACGAAAAAAAAGGAGAGGTGTGCTTCAGGAAGGGAAGGGGTAGTATTTGGGTTAGAGATCTGCAGAATGGGAGCTTCATGGGTGACGAGCTGTCTTTGTACAGACTTCAGCATACAGTGACTCACGGAATTTAAGTGCTAGAAATTGAAGCAGAGTACAGCTGTAAAGCTAAGCTTGTTCTAATGAGAAAATTAGTGCTCACAACTTCATTTAATGACATATTTTTGAATTGCACATCACAATTCCTGTGTGGCTCAGACCACTTCAGTGATAACGTGCATTCATACAAAAGGTAGCACTGATAGAAATGTTAGTGTTTGTGTGCGCAGCAGCTGAGGACGCGTGAGAAGATGCATTCAGAGCTTGCAGGGAATACTTCTGAAAACCTGAAACCTGGTGGTTTCTGGAATTCCCATGTCAGTGGGAGTGCAGTTTGTCTCTCTCCATCCCAGCAGAGATCTTGTGTTCTCCCTGAGCCCACTTTTCCTTGTTCAGTACTTTGTGTATGAAGATGTTCAAACCTAGTAATTCAAAGTGACAACCATTGTGCTTGCTTAACACATGTGAATACAATGTGAGAACAGCAGGTGGTGTTTGCTTAGTGATACTTTTTGAATATAGGAATAACTCAGTCTTCTTGCACCGATTATTCAATTAAAAGAAAACTATTGTCTTCCAACCTGCTTGTCACAATCATCAGCAGCCAACAGTAATTAGATTTCTGGTTTTTTTTTTTTTTCCCCCATTGGTGCTCTTATTCTGAATTTGATTTAAAGACATTATAAAATAGCTTACTGTCTTGCTATCCACACTTGCCTGACAGTCTAGTTTCTGAATGCTGACAGCATCAGGCATATCGTTTATATTCTGCATGGTGTTCAATGAGCTTCTGAGAGGAGACGATTTCATACTGTGAATATGTTAATTTAAAGCCTGCCATCAGGGGAAGTGTGTTTCTCCATCACATTTGGAAATGATTGAGGTTTTGCAAGTCTGGGTTTTTCCATCTTTTTTTAAGTTCAGAAAACGATAACGGTTTGCTTTTTTTTCCTTCCCTCCTCCTCTCTCTCTCTCCTATCCCCTGAGTAGTCTGCCTGTGAGCACCATATTATGTCTGGCTTAGTGTTATTGTTTCCAAACTAAGAGGGGTTTTCTCAGTATCTCCTCTGAGAGTGTCTTTTTTTAGAATTTCTGAGCATATTTTTCACTCAGGCTTGTTCTCCCTTAGATATGGGAAAGAGGCTGTTTGGGAAGCACTTAGACAATGCTTACAGAGTGCTAAAATCAATTGAAGAAAATGTTCAGGTGGCAGCATCAGCAGATGCCCATTGATTGCATAAATTACAAAGTATTCCTAGTTCTTTCTTGGGATTTGGGGATTTTTAACCACCTTTTTTGAAAATGTTGTATTGAAGTTTCAGCTATAATACAATCAGAGCTGGAAAGCAACAGATTGCCCAGTAGGCGCCCATGGAGGCTGGGTGCTCCCTTTGTGAGCACCCTCCAGGATGCTCTCCAGGACACTTATCATTTTTTTTTTCTTTTTTTTTTTTTTTCCTTTTTCAGCCTCTCCTTCCAATCCTATTCCCTTGTTTTAGCTTGTTTCCATTTGCTGTGGGGACAGTGAGTCAAGACTTAGAAGTCCAAAGGCCTCAGATGCAGAGCTATGGTAACCTGCTCTTGGGGCATTTGGGGAAGGAGCTGGCGTAACTCTAAATAGCTCCAATCTTCCAAATTATGCGAGAAGGGTCATAGTAGAAGAGCAAAAATAAGTGTCACCTAGGTCTAAGTGGCCAGAATTACTCAAACGTTAAAGGCTTCCTACTTTGTAATCAGGCATCGACTTCCTACTCCAAATCAGCTTCAGTAATTTTTAGTCTATAATTTTAAGATCAGTGAAACAGAATGTATTTAACTAGGAAATTTCCCCGTGATCTTCACTTAGGCAATGACTAGCAGATCATGTCAGTATTGCTCCATTTGGCAACTGGTTGTGCCAAGTAGTAATGGCTGTTTATTTCATAACATAAAATTTGCCTGTTGTCTCCATTTGCATGGGCCTCATTTATCTTTTTGAATCACTACATTTTTAAGTGTGAAAGGATAAAGCTTGTATAGGTATCCTATAGGAATAGAATGAATTATTAGTCTTGTTGCTTGATAAAAGTTCCTGGAAAATACAAATGAGGCGATATTTGGTCTTACATGTAGGGCACACACTGCTATTCATAGGTTTAAATACTCGTAATTTTAGGCAGAAAAAGTGTCTTTTCTAGAGCATGGGAGTTGAAGAATTTGGTTTCTCCAGTTCATCCTGGTGCTCCTTACATAACGCTTAGTATATTTTTTATTCTAAGCAGAGCTGGCAATGCTGCTTATGATTAAGGCCATCTGATGTAAGATTCATTTTTCATTTGCTTGTAACTTGGCCAGACCTTAGCTGTTCAGGCTGGAATTCTTCATTCTAGGCCTGGAAAAAGATAAAAAGGAAATACGCTGCTTCATCAGTGATGAAGTGTAATCCTTTTTAGCATGCTTTGTGCTTTGGAACAGCACGTAAAGCATGGGAACTTCCTCTGTTCCTTAAAAGCACCTGGCATTCCTCCTGGGGACTGTGTTGTTTGAAGGAAGGACAAGAAGACACTTTGCCAGTGGGTTGAGTTGCCTGTAGGTGGACAGACAGCAAGGAAATAAAGGATGTAGGTGACACGGATCAGAGTTACCTGAGCTCAACTTTGAAACTCAGCTGGTGGCTTCCTGTGTGGACTGGGCCGGGGTCCCCCTCCCCTAATGGAACAAGTCCCCAAGGCAGCTGGGGCCGCCCCCATGGGCATTGGGCACTGCCCACACTGATGGCACGTGGTCGGGCAGAACGGTGGTGGGGCCGGGGCTGACACCCCCGCAGCCTCCCTGAGCCGGGGCCAGGCTGGGCAGCGAGTCCACGGGGCCTGCACATGGTCCTGCGCTTTTTGCTCCCATCTCTGTTGGGGCTGGCCTGCTTTTTGAGGATAGCTTTTTCCAGAAAGGAAAAGATTGTCAGATTTCTTTTGTTGTTGTTGTTTTGTCTTTCAAGGTATTTGTGGGTCATTTGTAATAAAAAAGTATTTTGAGAACTTGCACAAGCACATAAAATATGCTGTTCTATGATATTTAAGAATTTTTGTTTATTTTACATCCACCTGAGGAGAGGCATAAAGAAGTGAACTTGCCATTTTTTCAATTGCAGTGTGAGCTGAGGCAATGTGATACTAGATACAACAGGATAAGTATTTTTTGTTGTAAGATGATTGAATTTACTGATGTATTTGAAAGCACAGTATACCAAGATTTGCATTAAACAAATTGAGTCAAATGAGACAAAATATTATAACTTAAATCAAGATTATCTGTAAGGTTGTTTGTTTTGAATCCAGTCCTGGACTAAGAGCTTATAGTTTACTGCTTTGCTGCTGAATAATCTGCTATGATGGTTCTCACAAGTATAAGAGCAATAAATAACAAAAGAAAAAAAAAATTAATTCAGTGCTACATAGTGTAGCAGAAATTCAGTGAAGTACTTTTAGAAGTACTAGTAATAGTAAAAGAATATCCTCTGAGTGAGTCTTTTAACTACCAAAGAAGACCCAAGTTGACACGCTTTAAATTTTGAAAGTAGATTATAGAACTTCAACTAGAAGGTTAAAATCCATTAAACAGTGTTGAAATCTGAGACAAAACACCTTAGGATGTTTCTCCATGAACGGTGGGAATAACAGTGCATGACACTGTGTTACAATGGGTAAAAAATACTTTGAATACACATTTCAGTAGTTTTTCCCTTTTCTGAGCAAGTTTGCACCATGCTTGGGCTTTGTTGATTTTAGTGAACGGTGTATATTGTAGCACCTCATAAAAATGATTCGAGATGGTTCTTACTGCCTACCCGCTAGATTTAAGGATATTGTAGAAATAATTAATGCCTGTAGAATGCTATGGGTGCATGAGTGTGTGTATACTGCTAAAATGATTGCTTTTCTTGTAAATGCAGTTTGTATAAGCTAGCTTTTTCAGTTCACATTGTTCATAGATGGAAGGAATGACAAAATATAAGGCAAATAGTAATTTAATAAGCACCTTTGCCAGGTACTTGCTCATTCTAGAGGTTTGAAAACAAAACTTCCAAGTATTTCTTTAAAAGTTCAGATAAGGAACTGTCATGAAGTTATGAATTAATTATGCACTTATCTGTTTATATTTTCATCAACATTCTAAAAATTTGTAACATTATTCATAATCCTATATGAATTATAAAGTGATTAAATGCAAGGAATGACTTCTAAAAATTTGTAACATTATTCATAAGTGATTAAATGCAAGGAATGACAATAATTCTGTCTATATAATCTTGCATTTTAAAAGATTTAAAAGAACTCAAAGATTGCTATATTCATAGTGATTTATCATGTTTTAAGTGATGGCTTTTACACAAAATGAAAATGGTCTTGTTTCTTGGGAAGGAGGGAATAAGCTTGGTTATAAGTAAGTTAGCTATTCATTTATTAAAACAAAAAAATAATCATATGATTTATGAAAGCCGATTTATATTGTGTTCTACTATCTCTTTAAAAGGAACTTAACCTGTTCAGTAGTTCTGACAGGTTCTTTCTCACCCTGGAGTTAATAAACCTGCACACTGGAAAAGTGGGAGTGCATCATGTTTCTGTTCTTCACTAGAGCTCCTGGTATTGGCACATGGTTTTTTCTGCCAAACACTGAGGCGAGAAGCTGAAGATGTTCCACTTGTGTCATCTTTCCCTTGATTAGATCCAAATGACACTGTTGCAGTACTTTTAGCTAAATACTATCCTTTACATTTATGCTTGCTTGGAGATTCTTCTTCAGGTCCTTGGTTTAACTTTCCCAGTAACACAGAGGTGAATACCTAATATGTACATGAAATTAATTAATGTAGCATATTTATCATTTGCAGTCTAAATTGAGGCAAAAATATTGTCCATAATAAGAATTAAGGGGAATTATATTTCAGCAACATTTAACAGATGAACTTGTGACTGTGGGAAGGATTTTATTAAAGGGTCATGCTCTTAATTGTGCTAGCTGGAAAGGAAAAAGCTTTTTGGATGGGGGATAAATTAAAATTTTAAAACTAATAGTAATCAAAAAAGTGTATTTTTTAATAAATGTAGTTGCTAATTCTTAAGTGATGTAGGTAATTTGACTAACAGCTATTGAAATGTTTAAAAAAATAAATACTTTAAATTTAGTATTTTTTGTCATATGTCACTGTAGATGTAACAACATGATTGTTTTACCTACAACAGGTGAACTGTGCATAGTATCATACTTGTATTATATTTCATTTGCAGCAAAGATGTTTTGAAATTAATCATTGATTTCTGTGACTTTCACTATAGTTGTTTTTTATTAATACTATAGATTGAATAATGACGTTATTAAGAAAGAAGATACTTTGGTTTTACTCACTTGGATAATGTCAGTGCTGGAGGAGCTGTATGTTATACTGTACTATGGGGCATAGTTTCAGTAGTGAGCTTCAGTAGCATATGGAGTATTCTAAAAATACAGGCTCTTGTTTAATTGTACGTGATCATTTTCAGGTGTCAGGTGTGTCCCTCTGAGTGTTCATTCAGAAGTAAATAATAGAGGAGAACTGGTATTGACTCATAGTATGAAACTCTGCATTTGTAAGCAAACTTCATTTTGAAAACTTCTATGTTACAATAAGATTGTCAGCTGCTTTTTTAGACTAGAGAAAACTTTTCAGCCTTTTCTCAAATTGGAGGAGAAGCAACAAAATCTTACCTGAGTAGATTGTGCCATTAAAGACCAGAAGATTTATCTGTATCAGTTGAGTAAAGTTTTTATTTTGAAACTTTCAGGTAGTGTTATATCCAACATCCAATAGCTCAAAGTCTCCTGATCTGCATAAAATGATAGTCCCCAAAAACAGCCAGGACAGTGACTTGAAAATTAAACTGGCAGTGAGAATGGATAAGCCGCCACACATGAAGCACTGTGGGTAAGTATCCATTTTCTGAATGTCTGCATTTTATTATTCTGTCCAGCTGTGCCTATCTTTAACCATATTTAGCTAAGGCAAGATGCTTCAAAAACGATATAAAACTGTACGATAGTGGTAGTTTGTTGTATTATATCTTTGTTTTATTGAGTTTGCAATAGTCAGGAATTCCATTTAATTCAGATGTGATGATGTGTAACGTTAGATGATGAGCTAACCTGAGATGCAAAAGTAAAACTAAAAGTACAGTGTCATTTAGAGAACTGTTTTTGAATGCTAGAATTTATAGCCCTTAGTGAGTGAATGAATAAATAAATAAAGGCAGGAAGAACTTGCTATTTGGGAAATACTGTCATATTTATGTATATAATCAATTACCAACATTTAAAATATATTTATTTAATAGGTATAAAAGTTATAATTATTTCAGCTGAAATTTCTGGGGTATCTAGCCATCATTTTGTTTTAGAAAGCTTAGATATGACTGATCAAGATTTTAACAGTGAGACTTCTTGGCTGGAGACACGTGATTGGTAACTAGCAGCTGTGAGGAAGGACAGAGGAACTAGGTGGGAAGGGAAACTGGAACTACTGTGTTAGGAGATTGGGACTGAAATTAGAAGGTTTAGGAATGCAAATACCAGAGAAAAGAAAATGGGATAACATGGCAGGAGTATGTAGGAATACACGGTTGAAACAAGCTGGAAGGGATGGAGAGGACAAAGAAAGGAAAGTGTCAGTCTGTACTACAGCATAATGCTCTCCAGGTGTGATGCCCCAGGCACTGATTCGCAGGCACCAACCACCTCTGGACTGGTAGTTGTGACACATCCCTGTCCAGATCTGATCCAACATTTGGTTGGTGTTGTGGAGAGCTTTCCCACTTGTAGTAGCTGATAATATGTTATTCATTCCCTGTGCTTTGATAAACTGGAATTTGATTTGATTCAGAGGTGCCCGACAGTCACAATTAAAATCATTGAAAATTTGGCTATAAAAGTACAGCTTTTTGTACAGATACCCTAAAAGTTAGATCTTAATATCTTAAACCTTACAATTTTCTTACTTCAGTTCTTCCCAGACAAAGTGACAATAATACCACCTGCCAGTCTCATAGACATGTGAAGGTGAGTCTTGGGAAGCAACCCAAGGGGAGCAGTCACTGTTACGACACGCAACCGATGGGTTATACTCTGCCCATCAGTGTCATTTCCCAGGCTCTGCAGCCGGCTGGTAAAGCTAAATCAGGTAGAAAAGCAGATAACTTGATTCTGTCTGTAAGGCAGAGTTTGCATAGTATGCAGTGAAACAGATCATTAAAGAAAATAAATTGTTGAAGAGCTGCGAAACAGCGTAGTGCTACTGTCCTGATGTCTGCAAATGGCTGGGAGGTTTTTATTTTATTTAATTTTGTGGTCACAGATTTAAGCACAGTGTCATAATGTAAATAGAAAGGGGGAAAAATAAAATGATGTGAGTGTCCTTAACTTCTGGAATTTTTTATGTTTGAGTGTTGTATTTTAAAACCTTAATAACACACCTTTAATGTAGTGTCAGGGTGATTATTCCAGTTATTATTCTTCAGTTTATTTTTCAGAAGCATCTCTGACTTTTTATCTCTGTCTCATCTTTGAACTACCTAACTTGTGTTTTTTTCATAGTAGTGAGTTATCAACCAAACATAAAAGATTCAAATCCAGCTCATAGCCAAGGAAGGCCATCTGTTGTTGGATTTGGGTAACAACTTTCATCTGACAATCTGAAAACACATTTCAAGACGAATTACAATTTTACCATGTGGCCAATTGCAGAGAAAGAATTTTTTGTAGACTAATGCTCTGTCATGATATATATATATATCATATATATATATATGATAGAAGATTTATTTTTGGTCAGAATATTTCATGTTCTTCAGGGACGGCAGAACCCACAGACCAAGCGGATTGCAAGTTTAGTTTTATTGAGTTGTCTGATAGCATAGCCTAGTGGTTACTAAAGGGTATCAGATTATTGCTTTCTTAAATAAATAAATTAAATGGGAATATTGATTTTTTCCTTTTCAAGTAATTGGCTTTAAAGGATTAGCAATCTGTAATGGTCATATCTAAATATAAATAATAACAAAGTAAAATAAAAATTTTTTTTTCAAGCTTATGCTCTCTAAAATTAAGGCATGTATGGATCTGTGTGAAATTAATTTTCCCTCACATTTCTCTCACATTTGGTTGATATGTTATGGGTGATTTTTCAGAATATAAAGATCAACATAAATTTGCTAAGCTTTAAAGTGCTTTCTGTCTTGCACAATTGGAAGTGACTGAATGAAAAGTGTTGAAGTGCTCTTAGGAAAGCATTTATAGTATACCTAAATATAGTCCCTCGGTCCTATATATGTTTGACTGAAATCACACATTTCTCCTCCTTCTGCTGCAGTTTCAGAACTAAAGATCTGTTAAACTAATGCCTTGGATAAGTCTTCCAAGATGCAGAGTTATAGGATAAATCCCCTTTCCCTTTTATGACACTTTTACCCACTGACAAGAGTTCATGAGAGGAGGAAGGTGAGCGTAATTATCTCTGTTTAATAGATGAGTAAAATGAAGCACAGGGAAGGAATAGGGACCGTGCAAGGTCATACGCAATTCAGTGTCAGAGCTGACAATAGAGCTAGGGTCCCCTGGCTTCTCAGAGGATGTGACTGTAGTGTGTGGCTGTCACCTGGATGAATGGTTGTCATAGTTCCCAGCAAGCTTGCAAGTCAAGCAAGAGGAGCCTCCCGGACACAGAAGTTCGGCAGAACAATGATGTTGGTAGTTCTTCAGTGCTGCTGATCCATGGCCACCCAGCAAAGGAGGGCAGGAGGAGGGGTAGAATTGGCTTTGTAATATGGAGTCATGTCATTTGAAGGCTGATCTGAAGATGAGGTCTGTTTCCAGTATCATTATTTTCAGAGAAGTGTGCAAGGTGCCTAGAGAGATGAATCTATTTCAGGTCTGAGTTATTCTTACAAAGTTAGGTGTTAAGAATGCAATCACACTTCTCATAGCAAGCACAGTGTGGGCTCTTTCATAGACGCTTTTGTGTGGAATATAGTATATCTGGAAGCAGCTTCAGACTTTTCTATGAGTGGAAATAGGTATTTCAGAGCAATTCTACACAATTTGTTATAGCTAGAGTCTCACCCACACTGAAACGATCAAACAGAAAACAACTTTCAGCCAAGCTAAAATGTCAAGTAAAAGTTTTCTTAGAACCAGTGCTTCAAAGTGCAGAAAAGCATACGCATACAGCATCTTCAAAAAACCTTCCCCATAGCTTTTATGACATGGAATACATACCATAGATGTATTCAATTATTGTAATTTTCCATTAGACACAAATATTAACTTTTTACATTACTTTTCAACTATTACTGAAAATACCATTCTCATTAATAGAGAGTTTAACATCTTTTTTCTTTAGGAAAACGAGAGGGGAAACTGAGAAATACTAGTTGATAATTTTCACTTGTTATCAACAGCATGAATCAAACTTTAAGATAAGGAGATATTTATCAAACTGTACCATGTCTGGATCTATATGTTTGGGCTTTTTGTGTCTGTTACTAATGTTTGAATTGTCCTGCCATGCTTGTGCACAGTACATTTAGCTGAAACCATGAAGTCAGTATATTAGCACCATCTAGCTTTCTCTTTGTGGCTATTACACTTCTTGTTCCATATTTTCTTTTTTAGCATATTCAATTTTATTCAAAGCATTTTCTTATCCTGTCATAGGAATGGTAGATTCCTGTGGAATGTGAAAGTGTTAATATGAAAATAAGCTCATCTAATCATAAAAAGAAGTGTTAAGATTAATATTATGTACATTTTTTGCAGTTATTACTCATGCAGAATTTTTAGCATCTTCCAAAGCACCAGAGTTCTAGTCTGGATTCTGATATTTGGCTTATTCTGTGATGTGTAATACACTGCTGGACCTGTTTCTCTGGGATGTTGACATATTGTACTTACCAATCTTTTCCTGCAGTGAAAAGAGCATGACATGGACATGAACAAAAAAAAATGTGAATGGGATGTGGTTATAGCAGATGCTTTTACATCATGCTCAGTATAACATTGCTATTTCTTGTTTATATTACACTTACTCCTTTATTAGTACTAGAGTTAAGTTTGACTACAAATATAGACAGGGTTTGTCTGCTGCAGTTCACAGTGCCAGGCCTTCCAGTTTTGTGAGATGACTTACTTATAATTCATATACAAAGGGGAGATTATTAAATCACCTTTGTGCCAAGAAGGGTAATTCCTCTGCTCTCCATTCCTCATGTGTGGATTAAGGATGAAGGAAGCCTTCAGTCTTCATCAGTCTTGATGCCCTAACCATGTAACCAGAAAAGCTCACATTTCCTGACCTTATCATCTCAGTTAGTTTGTGGCATCTTATTACATCATCTTGAAACATGGCAGGAGGTGCTGTAGTACTGGTTGTACTGCTGTACTTTTCTTATTGTTACCCCATTTTTTTTAATCATAGAAGCTTGTTACTGATAATCAGGAGGAGAGGATAGTCTTTTGTTTCGGCAGTAACTTTGAGACAGTTGCTGGCTCTAAAGACCCAAGATTCTGAAGCATAAACATATGAGCACTCTTTTCCTACGTATTTCCTGCTAAGTTTCTCATATGAATCCCAGCACAGAGAAAATCCAAGTATTTCTGACTCATGGAAAATGCACTTGAATGAAACTAGATAATGAAATCTGTGGGTAGCCTCTGGAATTATTATTTTTACTACTGGATATACTCTTTGTGAGCATAGTGGTCACTGGCCTATGGCAGAGTTTTTAAAAAGATTTAATGCAAGATGATAAAAATGAGGCTATGATCTGAATGCTTGACTGTTGGCATGGACAGTAAAAATAAGATTTGAGCTGTGCAAATTTCAAATTAACAATTGGGTTTGTCATGTTTCCTTCTGAGCAAGTACCTTTTATTGAA